AGGGTGGGGTTTGTTGTGAAAACATTCACGAAATCTTAGTTTTCTAGAGAATTCATGAAGGTCAGAAAGAAGTTCGAGCTCATTAACATAGCTGTTATTTGAGCAGAAGTTGAGATTGTTACTAAGAAGATTGATTTCTGCTTCAGAGAGAGCTATGTGTGAAAGATTAATAAAATTAGAGATATGTCGGAAGTGTTCATCGTTATCTGTATGTTTTATGAGGTCACTGTTATTTTCAACAGATTTGTTAGATTGAGAAGGCTTATGGTATTAGAGGGTGAAGTGTTTTTTAAACGTTTTTTTTTTAGGCTGTTCATTGTGGGATGAAGGGATTTTGGTAGTTTCTGGTAGACTGTTTAATGCTATGGTAGTTTCTTTATGACAAAGAAGAGGGTTTGAAAGATTGTTGCTAGAAGCGTTTTTTGAATTGCTGTTATTGGTAGGAAGCTGATTTTTGTTATTCTTTTTGAGAAGGGATGTATCAGTTTTTTTTGTAAATTTTTGTAGTTTTTCTTTTTCTTCCAGCGAAGGGTGAGAATAGTGAGAAATTTCTTTATCTAGAGTATCTGCAGAATTTTGACAGAATATTTTAGTTTGGCAGACTACAGAAAACAAACCAAGGATATAAGACAATCCATGTTACAAAGAGGATATAAAGATACCGAAATCGACAGACAGATTGAAAAGGCTAACAACACAAGGCGGTAAAATATCCTAAAACAAAACAATATTAAACTTTCAAATAGAATTCCTCTTATTATTACCTATCAGTTTAAACTCAGCAACGTTTCACGAATTCTGAAAAAGTATTTTCATCCCCTACAACGTAACGATCGTCTTAAACAGATATTTCCTGAAGTTCCCGTTGTCTCCTTCCGAAAAAAAACAGTACTCTAAAAGATATCCTTGTTCATACAAAAGTGAATTACATCCCACCAAAAAATGGTTGTCGTCCACGTAATAAAGCCCGTTGTTAAACCTGTAAGTTCATAAAAACCACTGACTCGTTTTCTGACCAGCACAATCAAAGAAACTTGAAAATATCCAAAGAAATCACTTGTGAAATAAAAAACACCATTTACCTTATACAGTGTAAAAATTGCAATTACCAATATGTAGGACATACACAAACAACTCTTAGAGAACGTTTCAACAACCATAAATCTTCTATTAACACCAAAAAAGATCTCCTTGTTGCTCAAGGCTTTAACCAACCCGGTCATTCTATTAACGATGTTATTATCATCGCCATTGAAACAGGATTCATAACTAAAGCAGATAGAGAAATAAAAGAAGCTTATTGAATTACTAATCTAAACACTGTTAAACCATTCGGAATTAACCTAGATCCTGGAATCTAGGTTAAACTTCACAAGGCCTGCCCATATGCCAGATGCACAGTGAGGTACGCTCTGTTCACAACAAGACACAAAACAGTTTCTCTACGTTGGTGTCAAGAAAACACCTAGTGGACCATCAATAGTGGAGCAACATTCCTTTTACAGAATAGACACCCTTCACCCTGAAGACGGATAACAGGCGTATGTTCATTTTAACAGAATCTGGAAACACATCTAATCTAATTTTACACAGGACCATGATGTACATAGTAAAGGTGGAAATATGATGTGGGCAGGAATAAGTACTATTGGATGTACCTACTACTTGTACAGCCTGTAAAATAGTATCAATATTTTTGTAAACTATAGGGATCACACTTTACGAGCGGTTGTGTTGCCTTGCATTAGTGAGATTGACCTTGAGTTCAGTTTAATGAATGGTAACGCCACTCCCCACTATGCTGGACTAGACGACTCATTCCTTAGAGAAGAGGGCTTAATTGAATGAAATTGACTCATCTTCAATCCTATCGACCATTTACTGGATCCCCTTGAAAGATGCGTCAAATACCATCATGTTACTGACTCTAGACACTAAAGAATATCATGGTAAGAACAACTGAAAGTAACATAAAACGTTGAGGGATGGACAAAAATTAGAAATATTTGACCTTCCTAGCATTCAATGTTCTTCATGGTTGGAAAGGACTAGACCACGTATTAGTTAAGTATTTTGTTGGTAAAAATGTTTCTGGTGACGTAATCAGTTATAAATATATAAAAAAGGGATAACTATCTTACTGTAGATAAGTTCCAAGACCGTCAAACTTCGTCACCTCCAAATCTGAGGTTTTAATAAATTTCGAGATTATTAGTAAATGACACCGATTCACAAAACATCAACCACGGAAAGCAAGAACAACTGAAAGACTATCATAGGTGACTAAGTTTGTTGAAAATTACGCAGAATTGTATGAAACATATGAAGACCAAAGTAAAAGAAAAAGTTATTGTAAAATCAATTGCGACCAAGCAGTAACCTGGACAATAAAAACTGTTCGTCGGAACTTCTAAAGATGGAATATTATGACTGGACAACAAGCCACTAACCACTTATTACACTAATCAATTCAAGATATATCATTCATTGGTACAATAACTATAACGCTTAAACATAGGAGCAATGGAAAACTATAGTGGTTAAGCGAATCATCTTTTTTTTTTTTCTGTCAGATAAGAGTGTGAAATCTTAACGACAGCTCAAACGTACGTAAAACCTTGATTGCTTTTTTGCTGTTGTCGTGGAGCTGGCGGTTTCCTCATGATCCAAGGAGAATTTTGTTGTATTTGATTTGGTACAGTGGTACTATAATGTCTTTGAAAGACAGCTATAAAGGAATCACTAACCGAGAGTTTTGTTGATTGGTTCCTACAAAGAATGCTTCTGTTATTCCAATGAGAGTGGGTGCAGTTCAATGACCGCAATGTACCCATATATATCGCATACGTCATAAAACACAACTTACAGAATACGAAAATGGATAATTACCCAAACTTTAACTTTATGGTGCTCTTGTATGGCTCGTTGTTGAATTGAAGTCACACTTCGCAAATAATTCTACTTTCATTTATTCAAGGATCAGAGATTGTAATAATAATAAAAAAAAGGCCATGTATATCATCACTAACATTCAAGGGGGTTGCTGGTGACGTTTTGGTTATTCGTATGGGTTTGAACATTTATGAATACGATTTGGTAAACTGTAGTTGTTTCTAATTCTTGACTTAACCCCATATATGAATTTTTTCACGTGCACTTACACTATATTATACTATATAAATGTTAACATAATTTATTAAGATGCTTAAGAATCTATATTTGTTTTATTAATTAATTTATCAGATCCTTTATTTAATAAAATAAACAATTTGTTATATAGTTTGAGAAAGAATTTATACCCCGTTAAATGTGAATTTGTTGCTATTGCTCATGCGTACAGTAAGATGTCAACATGGAAGACAACACGTCAGATCTAACTAACCGCGAGAAAAAATTAGAAGCAGGTTTAAAGAAAGTAAGTATTAGGTTTTTAAATCCCTATTAGAGGTTAAACATTCATAGTTATAGAATAACATCATAACAGTGAAAGATAATATGTAAGTCACAGTTATAATATAGCTTTGTCATGAATCGTTTTAGCTTTTCAACAGAACTTGTCAGGATCAAGAAATTTAGATACGTGCCAAATTTAGAGCTTTGAAGTTTGATTTGAGGTTTGACTTTGAGTTTAATAATTCAAAGAAATCGAAGTTCGGCTGTGAATGTTACAGTTTAACTGAATATACAAGTACTAGTGTCTGTGGTGTGACCGTGACAGTGTGATTAGTGAGTGATACTGTACTGAACTTTTGATATTATGTCCTGAACTGAACTTGATATTCAGAATAACAAGGGGCCTGTTGGTCCATTTAGGCTATTCCATCCCCAGAACTAAACTATTTAAAAATCAACAAACTCAAAGCTATTTTTTTATGATTCAAATATTTTTCAAGCCTCCTATTAAACTCCCTTAAATTTTCTTCTTCCACCACATCTGAAAGCAACCCATTCCAAAGGCCAAGCAGCCTGTCACTGTCAGTGTTAGAAAAATAAAACTGTTTTGTCTGACGATAGATCCTACCCTGCCACCTTTTATATTTTTCTCCCCTAGTCCTACCATTCTCACCAGTAAGTAAAAAAAAACATTATGCATCAACATTAGCATTTCCATTAACAGTCTTAAACACCTCCATTACTCGCATTAGATTCCCTCTAGCTTTTCTTTTTTAAAGAGAAAACTTTTACAAAGATTTTAATCTGCTCTTGTATAATAACCTTTCCATCCCAGGTATCATTTTAGTAGTAACTCCTCTGGACCTTTTCCAGCAATTCAATTTCTTTTGTAAGGCAAGGAGATCAAGACTGAACACAATATTCCAAATGTGGTCTAACCAGTGACCTATACAGTAACATAGTAATGTCTTTACACTTTTTTTTTTTACATATTTCTACAGATACAACCTAAAATACTATTTTCTGTGCCACTAACAACAACACATTGCTTGTATGGCTTAAGAGACTGATCAACCAGAACACCAAGATTTTTTTCTTACATAACACTGTTAAGGTTATTCCAGTCAAAATTTACTCATAATTCAAATTGTGATAACCCACATGCATTATCTTGCATTTATTATTATTAAAACCCATCTGTCATTTATTCATCAAACTTGTCAAATAATCTAAATCCTTTTGTAAAGCAGCAGTCTTTCTCACAACCAGCAACATCCAACACTTTAATATCAGCAAATTAAAGTAATTTATTGACCATTTCTTCATCTGTGTCACTTGTGTAAATCAAAAAGAACAAAGGTCCTAACACTGAGCCTAAAGGTACCTCACTTGTGTCACTAATCCAGTTTGAATGAACTCAATTCATAACAGCTGTTTGCTTTTTTTCCATTCAGCCACTTTTCTTCCAATGAGCAATCTTATTTCCCATATCTGTTGAGATAATTTAAAAAAAAGCCTTTTATGTTGCACCTTGTCAAATGCTTTCTGAAAATCCAGATACACCAAATCTACACCCTTATCCTCATCTATATAAGCAGTAACATCTTCAAAGAATGTCAAAAGATCAATAAGGTAATATTTTCCCCTAGTGAAACCATATTGACTGTCCAAACAAAATTTTAAATGACTTTGCAAAGTATCTTTTATCAAACGTTTCCCACAACTGATGTAAGTCTAATCGGTCTATAATTATTGGGACAATTTTTATCACCTCTCTTGAAAATATAAGTAACATTAGCCACCTTCCAGTTCTGTGGCACCTGCCTACTGTTCAAAGACTTAGAAAAAAAATATTAGCAAGTGGTTCACATGTCTAAGCCTTAATATCCTTCAAAAACCTTGCAGAAATGTCTTGCCCAAGAGCCTTATCATTCTTTAAACTTTCCAGTTTGTCTTGTTCGATCTTGTTTCCATTTGGCCTCTGTTCAGGATGGGAAATGTTTCATAAATCATATTAATACAAGAAGAAACAAAAGGAGAATGTAATAACCCAGCCATCTCGTAATCATCAGATATGAGCCTTCCTGTATCATACTTCAAAATCCCTACTCCCATCCAAACATTTTGTTTACACTCATTGCATTTCAAGAAATCCTTATTGTTAATTTTTATATTTTCAGCCAACCTTTTTTTATATAATCTGTTTTTAATTTCCTGTATTTATGATATGTAATCCCCTACATCTCACTATAGTTTTTCATTAATTTCCTCGGTTTTACCTGATAGCTTGTAACAAATTCCTACTAAAAGCCTTCTCACCCTGTATCTGCTAACAGAAACCCAAAAAGATAAATTCTCCTTGTTTTTATATTTGATATCTTGAACTTCAATAGGATGTAAGTCACATTTTACATATAAAGCCACCACCCTTCTCTTTAGTACCATATTCCTACTAAATAACTTATAAACCTGTCTTTTAAAGAAATGTTTGTTGTCAAAATTGTCTAAATTTAACAATGTTTCACTTATTCCCACTATATCAAAATCTTCCATTCTGACCAGTGCTCTAAGGTTATATGTTTTATTCTTTATGCTTCTAGAATTACAATAGTAACATTTTTGCCTACACTTAAAACTACTACTGTATTTTAATTTCGATGACAAGGAACCCACTTTGAGACTAATAATGGTTGGAGACGGCTTGAATGGGTAATGAAGAAAAACGTTAATATAAATTTAACATAACAGCAAATGTACAACGTTTCGACAAGGTACAACGTTTTCAGGGGATACTACTTTCTGTCTACTTTGTTTTATTCATCTTGTACTTTGAAACCTAGGAACACATTCTAGAAGTATTTAAAATTACAACAGCTTCATCCTGATTTTTGCAGCCTTCTTTCATCTAAGTACTGTGATAGTAAAGGTATGTAATGCATGGCTGATTTTCATTTCCTGAACTAGAGTGGCCCTCAGTAGAGTGCATACCTCTGCCACGCAGCATTGATCATATTCAGCTCTCAAAAAATACGAACATGTGTTCGTATGTCTGTTATTATCAACAGACATGAACCATTTTTGGTAGAACAATGAGGAATAATATTCTACACATGTCCACCAAGTTTCATGAAAAATCTGATCATTTTTGACTGAGTTATAGAGCAAAAATAGTGTGAAAAATCAGTCCGCATGTTAACAGATAGGTTCTTTTGGATTTTTGTGACCTTGACCCTCCAAGCACTAATCATTTCTAAGTTGAGTCATAGTCCAAATGTATACCAATTTTGGTCAAAATCCATTTATCCA